TCGTCGCGGTGGCGCCGCCCAGTGGCAGCCGAAGGTGAGCTCCAATTTGATAAGATCGAAATTTAAAATGCATCGTTACATAAACTTGCTAACGGTGGATTTCCACTGATGTAACTCACGGACACAAACATATCAGCATCACTATACTATATACTCCTTGCGATTGAAACTGAGGAACAGTGAATTAGGTAACAATATGTTGAACGTGTCTTTCGGAAGCGGACAGTTATGGGTCTTTAACTACTCGTATAACTACGTTTGTTTCGGAAGTGGAAATTCATAAAACTCTACACAGTTATATTTGTATAACACTATCTTATTTTATGCTTAGATTAAATATTATCCTAATTTAACTTGTTAAAATTTAGATTAGATTTTACAAAAAATTAAATAACTTTAAATCTATAGAAAATCGGACAAACTTTGCGTTTAAATGATGCTATTGAGGTCCTATAACTCCACAAAATCGGTGATATGTCCATTAAGAATCACCCTGTATACAATATCCTTAGTATTGTGTTGTTGAAGTCTGTCTTAAGCAAGTAAATAATACATTCACATTTTTATAATTTAAGGTTATCTGGTACGACATTTTTCAAGAGTCAAGTTGGAAACACAAAATAAGATTAAAACTATATAATTGTACATTTATGATTGTAATTAAATTAATGTAATTACATTTACAATAGCTGTTTTGGTCTTTTTCATATTTTTGAGACATTTTTTTTTGTATAATACTATGATTAAATGAAATACTACTAGGGTTTTAAGCAAATGTATTTTATTAGTGAAGAAAAATTTGAAGGCAATGAAAACTTTGTTGGTTTTCAGTTGTATATGTATTTGTTTAAAGTTACTTTCAGAGGCGGACCCTAATATTATAGTAGGTAAACATTGTGTGTAGTCGCCGTTGTTTGCAAAAGTAACTTTATTGTATTTCAGTTAAGTTAAAATGTAACATATTTTTTACCGCAGCTTATGTTCTAAATTACTCATAGAATTTTATTTTTTTTCATTACTTTCTTTAAGGAATATAAAAACATTTTTGTTTGATTTAACATTTTCAATATCGGATCTCTTTGAAAAGAACTTATGTCTGATTATCTTTGTTTATCAAATCTGACACTTATTGGACTCAACACGAAGAGTATAACCTAAAAATTTGTTTTGTTAAAGTTCATTATGAGTGTAAAATATTGTCATAAATTTAAATTCGTATACTGTTACTATGTATTAAACTACATTACAAAACCTATGGCGAAGTAAAAGTTCAGTATGAAAACAAACCAGCGAACGGATAATGGTTTATACATAAATGAAATAAGAGCTAAATGTTAAAAAGCAAGTCTGGATGGTCAATAAATTGTGCCGCGTGTTTGTGTACTCAGATACGTTGCGGTTGATTGTTTTATTGGATCCCGGCCAAAAAGCTCGGTGCCATTAATATGCACTACAGATTGTATAGTATAGTGCGTGCGGAAGTGAGTTAGGTTATGTCCACTATATGTGTTATAAATATATTGAAATAACCTTTTATATTACATACAAACGTATTATTACGAACATGATTAAAATTGCATCTCACTGTGTATATTAATGTAAAGAAAATTTCGAAAGTTTTTTCTAAAAAAAAATTGGATTTAAGAAATTTGATATCTGACAGACCAATGTTAAATAAACTACATATAAAAATGCATATTTGTAGATGTTTTGGATGCTTACAACACATCTTAGCTCTGTATTCCTTGATTCTTGCTGTAGCTAGGTAAAGGCTTTCATTTATATTGAAAAGCGCCTGTCAAAAATGTTATCGAACAAAATGTTCAGTTTATTGCATCAATCAATATTGAAAGTGGAAAATTACATGTGTATTATGCGCTGTGAGAAAATGCTAATGATAAAACTTATGATAACTTTTTAAAAATATATTCCTCCAAATTGAATTGCCAACCCGAATGGGCCCGCGATTTATTTTCATAACGTAGCCATCGCTTTGTATATCAATGTTAAATTTCCAGAGAACGATGAGTGTTGTGGATATCGTACGGTATCGCTCGCTTTTAAGGTCGGTCGATGTCTGGACTGCGTGTCGGCGGCGCGTCTGTTAATCTTTTAAATAGCCGACATTTTGATAAACATCAATGACTCAATATCGTTTCGCGAACGCCGCGAGAAGATAGATGGCGCTGTGCGTCTTGGATTTATCGATTTATTTATCCGTACATCTACTCTATCGTCTATTTGGTACATTGCTAGTGCGCGTTGTGTTTTGTTGATATTTATGTTTTTTTGCTGTAATAGTAAACATTACGTTGTTTATATGACGCGGGATTGGTGAAAGGTATATAATAAATAGGAATTACTAATAGTGACATTTGTAATTAAAACTGGTTAAAATAAATGAAGTAACTGTTTTGTAAAATATAGGGACTTTATTACGTCAGCAGTATTTTTAATTAAAGTTATTTTAAACAAGCTTTTAAGTCGTTGATAATGTGCCAACCACAACGTTTTAATCAGCGTTAAAATAAACATTAATATGGAAAAGCGTCCGATATTGAATTAATTATTGAATACATGAGGTACGTTATAAACTTGTAATTTAAAAAAAAAACCCAGGGTTCGTGATTACATCAGTTGTACTTTTATCGTAAGAACTAGCTGTTTCTATGCGACTTCCTCAACAGGAAAATATAAAAACATTATTTTATCGTTTACATTTGTCAAATAATCAATTGCAAATGTCAAAATGACATGACATGGTGACAATCCATGGCAATCTTGTTTCCATTATGTTGGCAACAACTTATGGTCTCTTTCCCACATTCGCAGTTTTATCCAATTTATTTACCCACGAAGTTTAATAGCGTGAAAATATATAGCCTAAAGCCTGACGTAAGTGTAGGGCTTTTTATTAAAAAATGAATTATTCAAAAATATGCAATAATTGCTGATATCTTAGGCAACAAAGAAGTGTGTGTTTACGCTTTATTATAATAGTATAGATATAACCCATCCAGTTGTTCATATTCATTTAAAGTAACATGTTTTAAGCAGAAGTACAGACACAAATCAGTTCATATAAAATCCAAGAATATACTCAAAATAAACAAGGATGATTACATTCTGAGACAAAGTAATAAAAGATTTTATTAAGCAATCAATAAAAATGATTTATCGTTTTACATTTCAATTAAAAGTAATGAATAATGTGTTGCGGCCGTACTGTTATAATAAATATGTTGTTAAGATTTAGAGCTCTTTTGACGGCGATGAAGAGAATGCATTAATTTTCATATTAAATATTGCTTACAGGTTAGTATTAATTGTTAGTAATTTTAAATCAAAGCTTTTTAGTTGTACAGTTTTATTTTAATTTTGAGATTCTCAACATATGACTAAAAATAAAAATGAATTACTCCTTTCATTACATTCGATTAACAATCAAAGCGCGAAGTAACAATTTATAAATGTGCATTTTTTTGTAATTTCTCATGTATTTATTTTAAGAAATAACATATTTTTGTGATTTAATTATATTCAATTGCTACGGAACCTTAAATTGATAATACCGAAGATGTTTGCAAATCATTTTGTAATTCAATAATGCTTTGTAATAAAATAAAACGATGTTAAAGATTAATTAAAATATTTTATACAAGTTCATGATGATTTTGTAAGAGTATTAATAAATATTATATATCATATACCGAATTAAAGTCTGTAAATTTTTATGTTTAAAATTAACGCTATCTTTAGTTTCTACTAGTTAATCGTTCTATGTTTTATTTGCTGATACGTGATCTTTCGCAGACTATCAAACAGGCGATCGGACTAAACATTAGTTTTTGTGGTATCACCATAAACAAATGAGTCACTTGGGACTAGACCAGCATCGAGTGTTTCAATTAAAAACCATTTAACAAAATATATTAAGATTTTTGTGTGTTAGTTATATCGTGTATGTCAACCTTTACTCTTTCATTACGCGCATATATTCTACATAACTCAAAAGTTCACGTCGCTTTTTGTTACAATAAAGCGGTGCCACATAGTGTCCGAATCGCTAGAGTCATTCTTGTGTGATACTGCTCTAATAGGGAGCTGATTCTAAGACGTGATACACCGCAAAGTGCGTAGTATTCACGTAGTATTCGTTTTTGAGTGGCATACGTCAAGATCAACTAAATCCATTTCATCTGCGTCATAATGGCAATGGAACTGTAATATGTGTTTGAAAATTTCCACTCGTAAGGTCTTATTTGTATGCGATAGTTTGGTTTATTGCTAAATATTGGCAAACCTTCTGAAGGTTGATCTAACTAAACAATTTAGCTTGTAAATAAAATATTGTATTTTATACAATCCGACTTTTTTAAATTCTTGCTTTATTATAATCCGTCGATCGTTAATTTGTATGCTGTCGATAATTTATTCTTTCCTACATTTATCGTTCGAATTTACACCTATCATTAAGTTGGAAAACTGAAACCTGTACAAGTTTAACTAACTTACATTTATCGGGAAGCCCGTACAACGTTTGGTGGCTAATGATTTCTAGAACTAACGTAGAAGTCCTAGCTAATAGGGTGACAACATTGCATGAAAATAATCCCAAATTTTTTGTATTTCTTCCTAGAATTATTTTTAAAATATGTTAGCATAAAATGGTAAGATATTTGAGAATTGCAGGAAATAAAACAGTGCGTAGCTGTTAGGAATTTTCATATAGAGTAATAATTTAACAGTACCTAGAGACAAGCCTTTTGTTTGACGAAGCGTGAACAAAGCTAAAGGGCATTGAATGTAAAGTAGCGTTGAATAAACGATAACATCTTAAGTAAGCGTTATACATAAAAAAGCTTTTTTCTTCTGTTTACAATTTTCACCGTTATTTCTTCTAGGTTAGTCTCAATCATAAAGTATCAAGTTCATTTTAAATCTAACTAATATCATTTTACTTCTTACTAATATTATAAATGCGAAAGTTTAGATGGATGGAAGGGTGGATGTTTGTTAGAGTTTGTGGCCTAAACGGCTGAACGGATTTCGATTTGGCATAGATGTAGAGGATAGTCTGGAAGAACATATAGGCTACTCAGTTTTGTTTTTTCAATCCCACACAAACGGTGTCTAACGCTAGTATTAAATTAAAGCGGACCATATTATTATGTATACAAAATGCTAAATTAATGATGTAAATCTCAGGGTATTTAAAAAAAAATAGTTACAGTAACAATTACTGTTACTGGCGGATATTCTTATTTATTTAAGACATCAATTTATTAGTTTGAACATTAGATACAATGTGTATAACATTCGGCACCTGAACCGCTGTAAACTCAACAAGAAGCGATTAATCACGATGTGATAGACGACGATTAATTCGCTATTTACTTTAGTCTACCAGGTTTATTCTGTTTCAAACACACTTGGTTTATTTCTTCGACCGTATTCGCTGCTTCTGTTTTAAGGTGACCGATCAGCCAGTGAGCGGATGATAAGATTTCAGTATTTGATTTGCTAATACATCGTGTTTTTACAAAATTTTAATTTAATTAATCAACAGAGGAGATGAAAAGTTCCTTAAATTGAACGAAACGGAAACCTAAAACTATTTATTAAATAAGTACTAGCAAATGTTATGTACGCCAGTATTTATATAAATATATAAGAAACTATACTGTGAACAATATTCATTGTAAGTATAATATATATGTTGTGGTTGTACTTAAATAATTAAATAAATAAATGACGCACAGAAAGAGGATATTTCTAATTCTTATGCGTTCTTTCGCTACATCAACTTCCTAAGTATGGTTCTAAGTGAGGCAGCTTGTTGTTAGACAACTTTATCGTTCCCTTCATACGGCCATTATGGACTTCGGAGTTCGGTATTGATTTCTGCATAGTTTTAACAACCAACGTATTAAATTACTTATCAAAGTTCGGCAACCTAACAAATTGATGTAGTTGTTCATTACTTATGTTACTAAGTTCATATACTTCAATTTTACAAAAAGCAATCTTCAAAATACACTTTACATTAATAAATTAATTTATTTTATACAATTTATTGTTAAATTTTAATTCCCTACTCCATTTATGGAAGCTAGAAACGAGCTATGTAACTTTTAGTTTAAACGCATTTACATCTTATGTTAAAACATATTATCTATCTCTCAAATTACCTTTGACATAACAAAGACAACAATATGTATCAATACAAGTATCATGCCAGTGGAAACAAACTATAATAACAATGGTTAGAATGTTGAATTGTCTAAAATTTAATCGCCTGCAGCACGGATAACGCATAAATGTTACATTTGGAATTCACCTCGAGGTTTCTGACTTCGGGATTATTTGCGATAGGCTTTGGATAAACGCTCTTTTTATTGTTTTATTTACTTACAAGGTTTCGCCCGCGACTCCGTCCGCGTGGTATTAAAAAAAAACAAAAATAAGTAGCCTATGTGTTATTCCAGACCATTCTCTACATCTATGCCAAATTTCATCGAAATCCGTACAGCTGTTTGGATACAAACTCTAACAAACATCCATCCATCCATCTAAACTTTCGTATTAGTAAGAAGTAAGATTAGTAAGATTAAAATATTTTTGTTTTAGGTTATGGTGTTGGAGAATCTATTAAGAGCAATAATTAAATTACTTTTAACTATTTTATATACCTTCACATAATTATAAGTTATCAGGAAATTTCTTAGTTATAATATTAATTCCGTAAACATGTCTGTCATTAATAATTTTCACATATAATTAAGCTATACCATTAATATAAGCCTTTAATTACTTTGTGTAATCTTCAAGTTGCTGGTTATCTTCCGAATATATTGTGTTGCGTATCTGCTTATGCAGTATTGAGAAATATAAATTTTGGTTATTCACAAATGAATCTATCTATACTATATATACTATACTATATCACTATCTATATCATACTTCTATACTAATATAATAAAGCGTAAACACACTATTAATGGCGTAGGATGTCAGCAATCACAGGATATTTTTAATAAAAAGCCCTACACTTACGACACGTTTTAGGCTGTATATTTAAACGCTATTAAAGTTATTGGGTAAATAAATTGAAAAAAACCTTCATGTGGGAAAGGGACCATAAACTAAAAAGCTGCCAACATCAAGGAAGCAAAGTTGCCATAGTTGTCATCATGTCACATGTAAACAATGAAATAAAATTTTCGTAATTATTTTCATAAGCCGTACGGGAACAGTTAGTAATTAATTATTATAGATTAAACATTTTTAGGTATGACCAAAGTAAATTAAAATAGTTCTTGCAATAACAACAGTTGATTAGACTAGTACAGAAAGCTAGGTTTTAGACAATACAGCGTCTTTTTAATGAACGTGGTTGGTTATTTCCAAAAAAATTAAAGAATTATGAAAATAAGACATATTTTTGCATAATAAGTAAATGTATTCTACTAAATTACTTTTAATAAAATGTTAATTAAAGTCTTTTATCATATTTACCTTTGGCCGACAGGCAATTTTGTACATTAAGTTTTTTAGCTCGCTGAGTAATAACTAAGACTAAGCGAGGTAATATTAACGTTATCGAATACTTGGCCTACATTATTAAATATTGCACGAATCTACTGTTAAAAGTTTAATTTAAGTATAGTAGGATAAGATAATTAAAGGTATCTCCAAATTAATTATTGCAAAACTATAGAAACAGTAATTAACACATTGGTCCAGTGAAGATTGTTTTGATTTTTCTTTCGTTATAGTAATTGTCCTCAATAAAAAGACGTTTACATGTCTATTTTTCTATTAACTCCCTAAAAATGTAGGTCTTGTTTATTTTTTATTTTAGGTTATAATCAGGAAATAAACAAATGATTTTTTTCATAAAGAATACGAATAAATGACCTATATGTTCCAAAGAACAGTGTTCTAAAATATGTAATAACGTGAGAGTTATTCAACGTCGTCACCTTGTACGGCAATGGGAGGAGTGCGGCGCGACGGGGCATCTCTTGTAGCCTGCGATGTTTCGCACAAGTCATAGGATACAGGCGTTTTGTAAGTTCTTTAAAACGTAATTTATGTGCTTATTAGTGCCAAATAACATATTACAATTGTCACAATAGATCTAACATCTATAGATTTCTTCAGACGTCTCTTGTGCACTTAAATAAACAAACGTAGGTTCTTGCTTCTTAGTTTATCTTAAAATTCAATAATAAATAGAATCTTCCTATATGTACTTATACAGATTTAGTAATCAACCCATCCCAACATACTCTTGTACACACATGTGGAAAACTAGCGCAGGTCGTTAGTTATTTTAATAATTTTATTACAGCCGTCAGTTAAATAAGACAAATATGCAAATTTTGTTATTATATTGTCTTATTGTCGTAATTGAGCCTAATTTTTCATTTATACCACACATTTCTGAATAGATCTATAATACACGCAAGGTGAGGCAACTGCCAAAAGGGCAATCTAGACAGATATAAGCCGTGAACATCCTTACGAAGTGTATTCAGGTGCCGGAGTCCGGACGAGTTGTATCAGATCAAACCACCCTTTATAAAATGGTAAGATAGACCTTGACTTCATAATTTGAGATCAACAAATTGCTCACCTTAATAACAATCACGACTGATAATCAAAACTCATTAATGATTCAATTATCATACAATATCAACTTATTTAAATTTTCAGATTGTTTGAAATGTGCACAATAGTATGAGAATCGCCGCCCACTCACGTTTCATCTCAGGCTTGTAAACTTAGTTCTTTAAACTTTTAAAAAAATAATCTAAGTTTATTGTTTTCGAATATTGTGGCGTGACGTTCACAAATCAATGTGACAATGGTATTAGTAAAGTGCCAAATTTTGTTAAAAATAGAACAACTCTACATTTAGTGCACATGTAGCTTAAGTAAATTTTATGTATGGATAATTAGGATTTATTTAGTATGATTTATATTGATACTAGTTTCGCCTGCGACTCCGCCCGTGCGGAATTAAAAAAAAAAAACAAATGGAAGCAGCCTATGTGTTCTTCCAGACTATCCTCAATATCTTTGTCAAATTTCATCGAAATCTGTCCAGCCGTTTAGATGACAAACTCTAACAAAAATCCATCGATCCATCCATCCATCCATCTAAACTTTTGCATTTATAATATTAGTAAGAAGTAAGATTTTTCCATTAAACCATTTCATAAGAACAGAACAGTACACCCTATATTGTATAGCGGCTTCTCATATCTCGTCTGTCTTCATAAAAAAACCTTTGTGTTCTAGATCTTTCTGTTGCCTTTAATGGTGTTGGGTGCAGCGTCCGCGGCGAGACTGGAACATCTGACGCAGGGCTACCAAGGCGGCTCCGGAGCACCTTTCAACTACGAAAATGTCAACAATGGAGATGGCAGTTATCGCTATAGGTACCTTTTTAAGCGTCTTTTGCGGCCAACAGCTTCCTCTGACGTGGCAGAAACATAGTTAGCGACAAATATCAACTACAGATACCTAAGTTCACATACCTCATTGCATTGTGGGACCTAAAGGACCTTTGGTATTAGGAAAGGTTAATTTTATAAATCAACGCGGGAATCTCGGCATAATACTGATTCTTAGTGTATAGACACACGAGTCAGAACATTTCTCACACTTAGTTTGATTTGCACCTTCGATTTTTTTAACCCGATTGATTACAAAAAACTCAGCTTAAGCTCTAAAACCTATTTGGTTAAATACTGTATATTTTAAGACAGTTATTTACTTAACAATAATGAAGAAGCCAAATTTCGTTCAGATTAACTGCTCCTATTTAATTTTATAAATAAAATTTGTTTTGTTTGATACAAATAATAGGGAGAAAGCAATTTCTTTTAGATGCGTATGCCTCTCAGTGTGGTGGTGATCTTAACTTTTGTAGAATGTCACTACGCTGACCCTAGTGGTCATAAAAGGTGACCAATAGGTGGTCATATAGCGTTGTTTGCTTTGATATATCTCCGATAAATATTAATAAATAATTATGTACATGGAACTCGTAAATTATCTTTAAATTTAAATAAAGTTTTAATTTTTACTTATATTATGTGTCGTATTTTATCAGAAATAATCTTATTATTCAATTAATATTTCCAGTTACGACACACCCACCGGTATATCGCACGAGAGCGGTGCGCCCAGGGCTCCAGGTCCCGAGGGTCTTGCAGTGACTGCAGAAGGCGGGTTCTCCTTCCGCACAATCGATGGCCAACAGATCTCACTGACGTACACCGCCGATGAGAACGGCTTCCACCCCGTCGGATCTCACCTTCCTACGCCGCCACCGATCCCAGAAGCGATTCTACGCTCAATTGAATTCAACCGACAAAATCCGTCTTCGTAAGTGTTCGTAATCAATTAACTAGTTATTATTTACATTGGCTTCTATGATCGTTGTCTATACAAAGATATTAGAGATGAATATCTTATATGACGTCATTATAACCATTCTTTTGAACATACCTAATATGGTCTGTTGAAATACCGGACTAAGATCATCAAGAAAATCTTGATAATCTTTTTTATGCTAAGTCGTGAGATCTTTTATATTCATTTCAATAGCTTATTGTCTGCACGACATAGTACTTCATTTTTCACGCATTGTTAAATTTAATCGTTACCATGTTTTTTGCTAATAAGGGTAAAATTAATGTATTTTCAATATCTATGTCCTGAGATGATTGTGAAGATTTTATAATACCTCACCATCCTCTTAGTTTCGTTTTATAATAATACTAGCTAGTCCCCGTGAAATTAAATAAAATATACTGCCTTTACTACTCAATGACAATGTAGCTAACGATAAAAGAATTTTTGAAATCCGCTCATTAGTATTTGAGTTATAAAAAAATACAAATCTTTTTACTTTAGTATATCAGTATCGATAAACCAAGTCTAGCAATAGTAAGTTTTAATGATAATATTAAAAACACGATACTAGCCATTCTAAAAACTAACCCGGATAGGTTTAGAAAATGATTCGTACTTCATTTATTTAACCTTTATTCGAATGAATGGAATGTATGAATAGTTGCTGTGAGAACAAAACGTGAATGTGTCAACGTAAATTGCGATAAGTCCATATTTTTCACATTTCTTAACATAACTACTACTTTTTTTAGATTAAATCAGAAGCAAATTAAGCATTGAATTTCTAAAGAAATTTTTAAAATATTAACTACAGCTTTTTAGAAATATAAATCTCGTATAAACAGTTCCCAGTTTCGTTTTAAACGGCCATAATTCTGAAATGTAAAATTTTTGAACCAAGTGCCCGTCAATGCCGATGAACAATAGATTAGTTAAAAGATAAAAAACGATACTATACTCTGTATTTTGTTTAATTATATATCCTTGTCTCCTTTACTAGGTTTGACTTTGATCTAATTCTAATTGTACCCTTCTGTTTGTTCCAGTGAGGACGGTTCTGGTGGTCGTAACGCCTACAGGTACTAGGCGCCCTCTGCCGGTGACAACTTAAACGAGATATGCATACCTCATAGCACGGACTGTGATAAAATATTAAAGTCCCTTCTCGCACACCCCTATACAATTATTTTTGTACTGTAATTATGTTTTTTTAATTAAAACCAACCGGTAAATTCCGCTCGATTTTGTTGTTTTCATTATCATGGTTATGTTTGAAATATTTCATTATACTTATAAATTAAGGCAAGCCAGAAAATTTTATAAATCTTCGGTAAAAACTAGCATTGAATCTTATGAAAATTAGTAGCAACGGTCATGAAGCAGTAAATGCTGAATAACTTAATTTTAACAAAAAATATCTTCGAAAGCATTATAAATTTAAAACATTTTTGTCTTGACGAAAGTTAGCTTTAAGTTTGCTCTGTCAGTATAAAAATTGTTAAAGGTTATACAAAATACAGTAAATTCCTACTTTATTTAGGAAAGAGAAAATTAATTTGTAACTGTGTTGTGTAGAATGAAATGACAATGATTACCAAATGAAGACAAACTTTTTATTGAATTAAAACACAGACTCAAACTAAAATACGGACAGATTCTTGTACTTAAAATACCATTGATATAATGTGAAGTACTATTTTTTTTTTCAGTTATGTTCATTTTTGTATTTAAATTTGAGTACTCGTTGTTCATGTTAAAAAAACTTAGGATTACTATTTAGCCACATTTGTTATTCATGTGTTCCTCGACGAAGTAATAAAACTTCAATTCACAATTCCTTTTAATTTATCAAATATATCCATTAAAAAAGTAGTAATTGAATATCTCTGATAAGTAAATCTGTCAGTAGTGGCTACTCTATAGTGTTGGGACGGTATGCGATGTGAGTACAAACTTTTTACATAAATCGAGGATATTTAAAAAACTAGAGACAAAGTACAATGTTTGTGGAACTAGCAAGATTCTTCGGGATTTAAAAAAAAATAGCTGCATCGTACTAGAATATTTTATATTCTTGTGAATAAATTGATGGAATCAAAGATTTCATTCATTAACGAGCAATTAGTTATTTAATAAGAAAGTCTTGCGAGTGTCCAATTTTAACCAGCAAGAATAAGAGCTTATTATTTAATTTTAACAATAATAGATTAGTTATCACAATTTGTCTAACAAAAATTACATTTAGAGCAAAAGAAAATTTTATGGTGGCTTTTGTTTTTGACGAAGTCAGCTGTAGCAGTTTGTAATACGCCCTGATTTCTAGAAAATTCTCTACATATTTGGGCGTATTATATTACAAACCTTTTTAGTAGTGTTTAATATAATTCTTTGAAGTATTTTGCCTTGAAAAGAAAGGATCACAATAAAATCAATAAGTAGGAATGAAACTTTTATTTATATTGCTTATTTACATTACTTTGAACTTATACATAACATCGTGCTCGATTACAACGTGGTATCACAGTCCCAAGGTGCGGTCGATATGCGCTAAACACGTCGTACCACTAACAAAGCGTACTAGGCAAGCTTACTTGTATCGCATCTACGTTTAAATCTAACTGTAGTACTAGCTTTTAACTTATTTCGAGGCATTAGTATAGTAATGATCAATGAGGCGTTTGAATCGCGTAATAAATCTACAAACTTATATGATAAAGGTAATATAAAAGAATTAGAGAAATAAAACTGTATGGGGATATCGTAACAGAAATAAGATAGGGTATTAAGATGTGGAGAGATATCCAGCAGGAATATAAAACAAAGGAGCAAGGATGAAGATGGGACGAGAGCGCATAGGTCTACTAGGTATAAATAGGTACGTGTTTGCATGCGATTTGTCGGCCAGTTGTGGTTCGGGGTCTATGAATGAGATCAGTAGTGGTAGCCGTTGGAGCCTCCGTTGCCGCCCGAGCCTGCGCCTGGGTTGTACGCACCTTCACTGCAAAATAGGAATTTTAAGAATTTGAATTATTGTCTATCGTAAACTCTAATCTGTTTCCACTTTTATTATCTCCTATCGAGGATTTAAATACAATGAATGCTATGACAACCACTTCCGTGAACTACGTCAAACAGGGGTGATTTAAACAAATATTTTGTAATGCGAGTTTTGTATAAGTTTTCATTAGAGTAGTAAAGTATTCGTTTCACTTACGAGGATGGGTTACGTCTGTTGAATTCTATGGAGCGAAGGATTTCCTCGGGAATAGGTGGCGGGGTGGGAAGGTGAGAGCCTACGGGATGGAAGCCGTTCTCGTCGGCAGTGTAGGAGAGGGAGATTTGCTGGCCGTCGGGCGCGCGGTAAGAGAACCCGCCTTCAGCGGTTACCGCAGGTCCTTCGGGACCCTGAGCTCGGGGAGCGCCGCTTTCTTGCGCTTGAATACCGTTTCCAGTCTCGTAGCTGAAATTACATTACATTACGTTTTTACGATTATGATGATTATGTGTATAATTTTCCGTATATTTTCATAAACTGAATTCAGGGAGTATGCAATCTCAATAAATTATGCTTTTACTGATCGATTGAATTTTTCAATAACGCAAATTTGTTAAGAAAGGTCTTAGATGTATTTACCAATAACTAATTATGCGAGCAAAATATTTTGCAATCTTGATATCGTGTGGATATCATTCGATAGACTCACGATTTGAAGAGCATTAGTTCATAAAATATCATTAACGAGAATTTGATTGAAACAATATTATATGAATGGTAAATTAGACGGGTGTAGTTAAGAAATCATGACTCAAATCTTCATGAAGGGCATACCTGAAGTGGTAAGTTCCATCGCCGTTGTTTTCATTTTCGTATCTCAGGATAGGGATGTTGGCCCCGCCGTTGCCGCCGTAGTTAGCGTTGCCGCCCGATCCGCCGGAACCTCCTCCTGATCCACCGAATATCCCGATGCCCGACCCACCGCCGCTGCCTGCGCCGCCGCCGAACACTCCGCCACCACCACCGCCGCCGGGACGAGGCGGCAAGTACTGCGGCTCAAGCCGACCACCAGATGTCGCCACTATCAGAGCTGATAGCATTACATACTGAAATTGCACAAAAAGGAAATTTTAAACACAGATTCTAGACCACAGTCCTGTGTCTTATAGTGGATGGAATTCAAGTTTCGGTCTTTCTAGACGTTCTTAAATTAAAAACTTAAACGCCCCTAAACCTAGACTTTGGACGCTGTTCGGAAGAGCCTTAGTTAGGTTATTTAGAAAAGGTTCATCTTAGGAATTTGTTTAAAAAAATACTACAGAAAACCTAATTTATAAGGAAGACTTGAACTTAAAAAACTTAGTTATTAAGCTCGTGACATTCGTGTTAAAAAGAAAAATTACACCGGTTATGTCATTGCGATATCAGGTGCATTATAGAATTTCTAAATGCAAAAAAGTAAGTCGGCAATTTTATGTTACATACTAGGCGTAAATGTTTAATTGGAGTAATCAAAACCATTATTATTGAACTATTATCATAAGAAGAAAGAACAAAAGTAATGAGGGCTTTTGTCTATTTGTAAATATTGAACTATTTTTTCTATCTTACCAGAGCAGGCGACATAATTATTGTTTTACTCGTAATATTGATCGAAGTCGGTCTACTCTTCGTTCAGCCGATGGCGGAATACAGTTTAGCGAGGATGTGCACCGTTTTATATTGCCCCGATTTGCCCTTTCGCAGTTGCTTCACCTTGCGCGGGTCGGCGGCGCGGCGATGCGGCGATCCTATCCATGCACGACCCATCTCCGCCTTAAGCTCTGAATCATTCAACTATTTCCCATACTAAACCTCCTACTACTAGGTCACTTATTTCTAAAATAAAGCTCTTCAATTATTTTCATTCAAACTAACGCCTAATCAACTTACAAATTGTAATGTAACTATTTTTTGTGTAAATAAGTAACTGAGGGCCTGTTCCAACAAATTGTAAATTGTCTGATAACTATCGAACGTGTAAAATATGTGATGGAAATATCGGATTCTATTCCCTTATCTGACAGTGGCGTCATTTTTAAGCTACCTGAGGCTTTATCAACCAGTGGTGGGACAGGGCCTAAATGTCATAAGATAAGACTGGATTGTCTATTAAGAAAATTGCGGTGAAATCACAATTTCATTGAAATGTAAAAGTAGTTAAAAAAATCAAATAACTGAATTACATAACTTTCTGTTAATTTACATAGCTAGGGCATTTTTCTTACCAAAAGCAGATATCCTGTTAAATTCACAGCATTGATTGAATTCAAATATACATATGTCACAATAAGTCATAGTAATCTCGAACATCCATTTAGTATGGTAAGACATTCCCATCGTTTCTTCCACATTCAAACATTCTACGTTTGTACGCTTGTCAGTCACAGACACTCTTGTAATGTATAAAATGTTGCAAAATCGTGTGACAATATTAAACTAGATTACATATGCATATATAAACAAATAGAATTCTACAACTTTGGTCCATTAGGAGTTAGTAAATAAACGAAAAGATTATTATTATTCACGGTTAGAAATGTCATAGTGGCCAAAAGTTTTTTCTTTAGTAGTTAAGTACTATACAATGATTTAGAGGTTGCTTTCCACAATAGAGCATAGTTTGATCATAAAGTCTCCAATATTAATAGACGTATTTGAACTTTACAAATCACAATAAAGCATCTCCAATTTTAAGTTTATTTGAATTACTTTATAGTAGCAATAATTGGCTGATATTTTACTAATAAATGCGCACGAGAGCTTAAAGTTTGTTGTATTTTTTTTTAAGATTGTTATTTTTTTATCTTTTTTTTTTAATCATGGAGGTCAGGAGTAATTATGTTTTTTACATTATAATAATTACAACTTTTGCAAGGTATTATGAGACCTTTTGAATTAATTTTTAATTTCAAGTAAATACGTCGGTGCTTACGTTCTTTAAATTTTTTTTACTTTTAAATTACAAAATTAAAATTTAATTATATTTAGCTTGATTTCCTAAAACTTTTCTACGTCAATAAGTTACCGTTTTTCTTGTGGCTTTATGGCTCATTTTAAAGTAACAATAGAAAAGTCACAATTTAGTTACTTTCATATAGACATTGGCTGTCTATAAATGCAGTAAACAGTGAATTTGGAGCAACGTAGTGCAAACGGCACATAGCGATGACGTCGCAGGTCGTCGCGGCCGTGACCACGGCGGCCGCAGCCGCTCCTCTCTCTGTCATCGACCATTATTGAAAATGATCTTGTTCCGATCCCGGTCTTGTTAACAACAATTGCCATATGAAATTTTAACGCGGACCTTGGAGGCTTTTATGATATTTACTTAGTCGTTTCCCACGACTTTGTTGTTGAACTGATTGGATGATTAGACGTAGTAATGCCAGTTCAAATTGAAGCGTTCGTTTATTTAGTTAACAACTGTATTTGTTTGGAATATTTTAGATACTGATTCGATATCGTTAAATTGTTTACATTATGTTAAAGAATTAAATATAATAACGTTATTAACAATAATGTCACAATATTTGCGGGAATTCATGTTTGCTAATTATTACATACATAGCTTGTAATATATTGATGTGGAAAGCGATAACTTAAACTTGTATTTCAAGTGAACACAATTCCATAAGTGACTAGGATTTGCATTCTAAAAGCAATGCGTTTCGGGATGCTGACCGTTTGTCTCGTACGATATGTCAAAGTTCAAAGGTACAGCTTGATTTAGCAGTCTTCTTTCCTATGTATAATTAATAAAACCACTAATTGTGTGTGCAAAGGCTTTTGAAATTTTGATATGTTACTTATCGATGACTTATTATTTTTGCTATACAGAATTACATAGGATAATGATTGTTACAAGGTATAAACAGATAAACGGCTACAGGAATCTAAAATTTGATATATGAGGTATGTTGAATATAATCTGTAAGAACACATAGGCTATTACATAAAGGAATATTTGTTTAATTCCGCACAAACGGAATCGCGGGCCACTGCTAGTAATAGATAATTTAAAAAATCTACATGTAAATGTCAAAATTGCTATGAACAGCAAAAAATTTAAATACTTGTAATCCACTTACTCTTATAAAGCTATATTTAACCATACAAATGTAAGATATTTAACTATCATTGTTTGGATATGTGTAACATCGTGTGACAGAAGCATCGATGATAAGTGCAGGTTGGCATTTAAAGTAGAAAATAAGGTGTGTCTCTGAGATCCGCATTAAATTGATATTCCGAATCACGATTGCCCATATGTCTGAGAATTCTAACAGTACAACGAATGGCGAAGGGCCTTTCATATTACCGTAAATGCGCTTTACTTGGCATGGTAACTGAAGGCGGCAACTTCAAACTGTTTAGACAAATATACTATCAAGAATAATGTGATGAAAATAAAAACTTCAATAAAAGAACTTCATAATGAAATGTTACTTGTCGCACAACTTGTGTATCATCAATCATGTAACGATTTAGTTTATTCCAGTAATACCAACATTTTGGATAAATCGTCCGTAATAAAGTAACAACTTGAAAACAAAAATTGTTGCTTATAAAATAACCTTAATTGAAGTAATGGAATATCATGAATTATTAATAAATTGATTCTACATTATCAGAAGCAAATTGTTTTTAAAATAATTGGTATACACGATCGTGAAACTATTCGTTTCACAATTATCCCATTTCGAGCCGCCCCGCCTCTGTAAGGCCTCGAACTACGAACACTTAGACCTTATTTCAAGAATACCACGAACATCCGGAACTATTGTCACGATAAATGCCCATTAAATCTATAAATTCCTTACCTAAGACCTTAATATTGTAAAATCGGGCACACATCTTTGACCAACTATCGCACAACTGTTGATCGATAGTCGAATGTTTTGCAGCAAATTCAACTGTTTAGTTGTACAACTAAAAATCGAGTAGTGTGCGTACCTCTATATACTGATAGGAATCAAGGAGACTAAATATTTGTGCGATAGTTCAGTTTCAGGTGTGCGTACGCTCTAAAATTGATTGTTTGACTTTAGATTTCGGAGTCCTTAAAAATCTTTCCCTAACATTTGTAACCTACGAGTTGGTACCTAATTTGTATTTTTTACATAAGTATTAAAGGGAGAAGTACTGGTTATTAACTCCCAACCATCAGGTTGTAACCACAAAAATACCCGTAAAAGAAGATTGCAAATGTTAGTTGTTAGTTGATTCCGATACTTGATTAAATTTTGTTCCAGGAATCAGATTTTTCCCAGAAAATAGTTCATGTTTCAATAATCCGTATTGAAGTCTATTGTAGTTTCCTGTACTATCAGATTCTTGACCTAAATTGAATCTCATTGTTCGATTCTTATTATTTCATAATACTTTGAGAGTCTAACTTATAATCAAATTTTCAGTAGATTAAAAGATAAAATAACTTGTTATCTAGAGTTAAAGCTATGCCGATTAAGCTTTACAAAATATACAATAATTGACTAACTCACAAAGAATATTTCTTATAATAATCGGCAGTTTTCACTACCGAAAGATCATCATCCACTTGACCTTATCCCTTATGGAGGGTCGGCACAGTATGTGCTGCTCTTCCATACATCTCTATCAGCCGTCATATCTGAATCCACTCCTTTCTTAAGCATATCTTCTTTCACACAATCCATCCACACTTTCTTCGGTCTTCCTCTTCCTTTGTAGCCATCCACATTCAATCTTAACACTTTCTGGTTTATGTCCCCATCATTTCACTACCGAAAGACTTATACAAAAATATTGTTAACTCAGTGTTTAGTTAGGAGTATGTAAGGGTCGACAATATAACATACTTATAAGAGTGCTTGAAAATGGAAACCAATAACTCTCACAGATCCTTTGAGAATCCACCAAATATGTTATTTGTATGCTGTTATATTTCCTCGCAGGTCGTAAGTTTTATAAGTTCGGAATGAAAATTTTCGGACCACGAAGTAAAATAAACTATTTTTTTTATTATGTAGAAACAATTGAAAGGCAATGAATATAATTTACTTGTTTATATTGAAGTTATGTACACATTTCTGTATTTCATTTACCGTTTCTTTCTTTTGCTTGGATGTTTTTATTTTGTAACGATGTAGACCTAAAATAATATTTTTACCGTAACTTTACAACTTTGTTATTTTCTTCCGTGATTACATTTCAAAATTCATCTCTATGTACATCATATTCATATTAACATTATAAATGCGAAAGTTTAGATGGATGGATGTTTGTTAGAGTTTGTCGCCTAATCGACTGAACGGATTTCGATGAAAATTGGCATAGATGTAGAGGATAGTCTGGAAAAATACATAGACTACCTTTGTTATTTCTTTTAATTCCACGCGGATGAAGTTGCGGGCGAAAGCTAGTTTTACATAATTTGCTTTAATTTATTGGTCATAAATCTATTCAGGTGTAAAAGCGAAGAGTAAAGAAGTACAGGTGCAGTTTATAACAACAGGTACTTTCAGAATTTTAATTAAACTGAAATTTATAAAAAGGCAGCTTTTTAAAGGTCGAGATTTTTCATGCAAACTTTATTATCTTTAGATGTTAACAACCGCTTTGTCGTCAAATTTATTCTGGAGGCGAAATGAAAATTAAAAATGAAATTTCTCATCACGTTTACTAACTGGCGGACGGTGAATGTAGTGAAACGAGTCATCTATACTAATATTATAAAGAGGAAAGATTTGGAATTATGCATGTATTGAAATAACTCAAAAAATACTAGGACAATTTTAATAATTCTTTCACCGTTAGAAAGGTAATTTCTCTATAAGTAACATAAGCTATATTTTTATTTCCTTATTTCACGCGGAAGAAGTCGCGAGCAACAGCTAGTTATTTATATTTTACATCTACAGAAAGGTTATGGATATACAGATAAGATATGAAACATATGTTCTTTATATTTATGTTGTCAATTTTTGGGCGCATTTGTTTGATTAAACTAGAGACTACCTCTCTGTACAGAACGGACAGACTTGGCTAAATCGCGCATAGTATTGACATTATAAGAAATCTTTATTGCGTGTATAAGTCTGTGTACATTCACCGCATTGTTCGTTTGTAATGATCTCGAACTAACAGTAAAATTGTAACCTTCGACTCACACCGGCTGGGAATAAGTTTTGAAATGGTGCTCTTTATAACTTAACAATCACGCTCTGTGGCACGCTTTACAGAATTCGCTTGCACTTTTAAATGTCACTACTTCGATGCCTTGTAAATGCGAAAATGCGAATGACCTTAGTACGTCTAAACAATAACATAAAAAACACACAGACGAATTGAGTACCTTCTTCTTTTGGGAAGTCGGTCAAAAAGACGTATTATTGTAGAATGTCCAAAATATACTTACATAAGGATCCTTTGCTTTTAGTATAACTAAAAATTTTAAAGTTTTTCGTACTCTTTTCATCAAAATGACTACCTAAGCAACTTGGCCAAATCGTAAAAATGATTCTTAAATAAACGGTAAACATTTTTATGTATGTAAACCAACGTTTTACAAAGATGATGAATCATTTGAAACAAATTGTTAACGTGTACTGTAATGTACCTTGAACTTTCCGGTATACTGATATTATACTTCATTAAGGGCCTGTCCCACCAAATTGTAAATTGTCTGCTAACAACCTAACGTGTAAAATGGGTGATGGAAATATCGAATTTTCCTTATTTGACAGTGACGTTATTTTTAATCTCCAATGGTGGGACAGGTGCTAAAGATTAAAAATGAATTTGAACCTTTAATTAACATAGACAAACTTATCGGATATTTTTAAAAGTTGAACTGTAATGTCATCGTTGACAATTATTTGACACTTTGAAGTTTTTATGACATGTAATTATTCTTATCGAATTATTTACTTTTTACTCGTGTTTATTTTATACTTGTTAAAATGTTAATTCCAACCTGCGTTATTAAATTTTTAGAATTGGTGAGTTTCCTCTAATCAGATCTTTTAGTAAGGTGTAAAAAATATATGTCATTCCTCCGTCTCCACAAAAATCATTTTATGTATTGGAGATATTCTCTGATTAAAAATGAAGAAGGAATAGAAGTAAAGCAAATTGCTTTGGAAAATTGCTATTCGGTTTCAGTAGGGGCTTTATAATTTGCTCATTGAAAACATTTGTAAACTAACCCTTCCTTTATAAATTATCTTGCATCATTACTACGTTTCTTGTAATAAAACAGTTACATATTATTTAATGCTACATTCACATGCATTCGATATTAATACTTATTTTATATATTTTATATATTAATACATACTTTAACGTTAAGCAGAAATCAAATAATCCCAGTGTCAGGATCAAGGCGCGCTATTTGTGGGTTTGAATAAGTACGTTGTTACAGATGCTGGCCGTTGCCTGCCTCACCCTGCACCACTATAGTTACGATTTAACAGATATTCCTACGCTAATGCTCTGCTCTGGGACTTATGTGGGCTACGTTGTTGTGCTCTCAGGAGAAATTGTCGGTAAGAATCTAATTTAAGTCTACGCTAAATGGTTGGATTGTTAGGGTTTCTATAATTATATTTTGCGATTTATCCTATAAGAGATTAAGGGATTTTGATATACACCAAACCATGTATAGTCTAAGAACTCTGGCTAATTTTACACCTATAAATATATGAAGGAGCTAACAAGAAATCTCACTTGTCAAATTTTAGTTTGTGTGAAATCTAAGGCCCTATTTTGTTAGAGAATTGCTTACGTTAAAGGATATAATTTCCTGTATTCAAGATCGTTCTGAGTGGTTGTTTAATGCTTTTTAGAAATAACTAACTTGATTTTATATTATCTTTAAGGTAACTTCAGAATTTTGCGTCAGTTTGTCTTCTAAAAGTGTTGTTTATCATTGTCACACTTCCGTATCCGTCTCTAGTAAAACGAATGGTCTCTTGTGTTAATGCAATATGTTGCAGTGTTGTTCTAGATACATCGATTTTCCATTTTATTTAAAAAGTAGAGAATGTCAGCACAGAATTGTTTTAATTTATGTAGATGCCAAATTTCTTTTAAATTTATTGAGCCGTTCTGGAGATACCTTCCAACAAACATCCATCCAAATATTAATAGTTATTTTATATTAGTAAAAAAATCGTTTATAGCTAATTGATGATGTCAATTTGTGTCTTCACTGTAGATAAAAAATAATTTATAATATCGGGTTTTTCAAGCAAAATGTGCCTTGCTCCATCTGTATGGATTGATTGATGCGACTTCCTGATATTTAACGCTTTGTAACACATCAGTTCATCAGCTTTTATAGGCCAGTACTAAACCACGTCAATTATTACGTGCCTCGCATTAAACACGTAACATGCCTAAAAGAATCATAGATCAACGTAAAGAGAGTTTTGTAATATTTTTTAGATGCAAAGCTTATTTATGAAGATATCCCATTAACTAGCTGTTCCCGTGCGGCTTTATCCGCATGAAATTATAAAAACTTTATTTTATTGTGTTCGTTTGTCAAATTTGCAATTGAAATGTCAAAATACCGTTCCCGTAATGACCTTGCTTCCTGATGATGGCAGCTTGTAGTTTATGGTCTCTTTCCCACATGAAGGTTTTTTTCCAATTTATTCCTAAAAATGCCTAAAGCATGTCGTAGGTTTAAGGTTTTTTTTATTAAAGAGAGTAAATATGTGCGCTAAGATTTTTTCCCGAAACGCGTAAAATACAATTGCGTTATTTTATTTGTCAAATTACACACTTGCGCTGTTTATTGCGAAACTAATTTACGGTCAAGTCGCATTTATACCTCCTCCTATAATATAAAATTATATCTGTACCTCCTTGTATGGGATCGGTTCTTTTTACAATTTTTTGATCGAAGCAATCGGTTTTAGGAGAGATGTTGTTCGCACCGCTGGACCTAGTACAGGACATGTATTTCGGTATCCTGGGAGTGGGGCTATACTCGGTGAGCGGAGGCATGGTCCTAGCGGCCAGGACTCATGATCCCTCCTACCCTAGGACCGGCAACCATACAGCGGCTCTAGTCGCAGCGGCACTCGCCCTCGTCAACGCTTTTGTTATGCTATTCGATTTAAGCTTAGCCTATCTGGACTCTGAGGAATTTGACGATGAAGCTAGTATTTAGGTACGTAAATAATATATTTTTTGGAAGTCTAAAGGTATAAATGCGACTTATGACTTTATATTTCTTATTAACTAAATATATGCTTTAGGAGGATAAACTCTTAGTTATATTTACAGTTTAGTTTTACTTTCATTAATATGTTTCGACTTCCGTATTTTTAATCAGTATGCGTAAGGACCTCGTATTTAAAATTCCACTTCCTCGACTGAGTGTAAGTTATTACGCCTGACATCATATTGTCCATACTTATAGATGATCCAAGGCACGGCGTGTCCACTTCCTCGAGCTTCCTTTATTGCTGATTATAGACGATCAATGGAAGATATTGTACGTGATGTTATGACAATAGAACATAATGATAAAACAATGTAGAGTCGTTAAAAAAAGAGAAGGATAATATAATTTATTGACAACTTGTGTTAGCAAAGTGCAAATGGCGCATAGCCTTACTTAGTAACTGTGTTCAAGTTACATGAAACCGCAAGTTATAGGTACTAGGATGTCATAAATGTAGCGGTATATGTGCAGGTGAAGTGGTATCAGCGGCAGCGGACCCGTACGTGGAGGCATGGTGGTCTGGCGCAGGCGGCGTTCTGTTCGGAGCTTGTGGCGCGCT